TTATATCTACAGTCATGAAGATCCACACATCTTCAGGAAGACTAAAGGCTTTCTCCAGCTGCTCTTCACATCTCACCATTGTTTTATTATTTTGTCTCACATCCCTTACTCTTAACATAAAGCCAGAATCGAGGTTTTCCCAGGAACATGACAAAATGCTCTCTATACTGTACATTGGTGTTGTTCCAATGTTAAATCCCCTGGTATACAGTCTGAGAAACAAGGAAGTCTTAAAAGCCATAAAAAAGTTATATCAAGTCATCAAATAATGTATGTGACAGGGAAAATGTACTAACCACTTAAGCTCTTTGGATGTGTCTGAAACACCCTGGAATTGAAGTGGTTAAAACAAGCTAATTGAAATCATAAGGACATTGAGAGATGTCCTCTGCAGAGTGTGAATCTGACAGTGCACAGCTTTGAGCACTTCTGGTTCAGAGCTTTCCAAAACCTGGCTGAAAAGCCGAGTAGACAGCTGTGAACAGTGGCGGAACTATCGTCATAGCAACCCAGGTGGCCGCTATAGGGCCCGGAGCAGAGGGGGTCCTGGCCTAGACCACGAACAAAGGGGTCCCCCTGATGCCGTGCAGGCCACCGGAACTGTCACTCACAGCTGTAAGGTGGAGTGGTCCAGATTGAGGCCCAGATTACTGACAACAAAAATGTTGCTATGCTGTCCTGTGATTTCTAGTTACACCCCTGGCTGTGAAGCTGTGCTGTGCTCATTAGGCTGGAGCTGAAGACAGCAGAGATATTAGGGGTCTAATATCACATTCTCAGCCATCACGTTCTCAAACAATTCATCCCCACACAGCTACCTTCTCATGTATCACTCGCCCGTCCATTTTACATTGTAAGCCCTCGGGGGCAGGACCCTCCTTACCATCTTGTCTTGAATTGTATTGTGATTGTAATGTCTTCCTTGTATTGTAAAGCGCTGTGCAAACTGTTGGCGCTATATAAATCCTGAATAATAATAATAATAGACCACTGATGTCTCCATAAAGAGTGTCTTTGAGCTACTCAATGCTTTAACATAGGATGTTGTCAGTAAAAAATAGAAAAAACATTAAAAATGTAAAAAAAATAAAAATAACAAAACATTTTTGAAGAACATTTTCACCCTGCTCACACAATGTGCATGTATAGTGCATGTGTATATAAACAATTGCGCAACATATATTGGATATCGCCATGCTCACAGGAGGAAGAAAAATTATTGTAGGTCCCTCATTTATGGTTAACTCCATAGTGATGATTTGTAAATCTGTCTGCATGCGGGTGCAGGCTGTCCATAGACTTACTTTGTGTCTCTCCTCTTCTCCCGGCTGAACATCTGAACTGCGCATGCGCCCACCCCAAGATCCTCCCAAGATGCAGCCGCCTGAGATTTTTCAGATTTTGGTTTAATAACCCTTTAACCTTTGCTACCCCTGCACTGCAAGAGTTAACTGCTGATTTTTGTCAAAGTGACCCAAAAAAGTTGTAATCATCTGAACCTTAGCTTGTTCTGGTCCTTCCACCCTCTCTATGATCTGTAAATCATCACATTCCATATACTGTGTATAGACGTGAGGACACTGAGGTACATTCCAATGCTGCAGTGTAGTAGACAGGCCTGGATTCCCCACAAGGCCACCGAGGCCCGGCCTCGGGGCGGCAGGGCACCGAGGGGCGGCACCGGTGTGGAATCCCCCGAGTTCCGGGTGCCGAGGGGTAAGTGTGGGAAAGCCGTGTACGTTTACAAGTGATCTCGGCAATGTCGCCGAAATCACTTGTAATAAGTTTGCAGCCGGTCCCCCCTGCCCCTACCTCTCTCCTCGCTTGCATCGTCCGCTGGGCTCAGTCCTCCCGCAGCCGCTGAATCTCTGCTCCAAGTAGCTGCGGTGAGCATGCTGTGTAGTGAGAGGGGAGAGCCGTCTTCCCCTCTCTGCTGTCACAGGAGTTCTAGCACAGTGCTAGAACTCCTGTCCTGGAGGTGACGGGTTCAATAAAGAGAACATATCACCTCCAATTGCTATCACACAGGAGATTGTTAGCTCCTGTGTGATAGCAATAAAGTTAAGTGGAAAAAAAAATTGATAACAAAATTATTAAATAAATAAAAATTTAAAAAAATAATAAGCAATAATTAAATAAAAAAATAAACAGGTGATTAAAAAGTAAAAAATAATAAGAAACAAATTATTTTTAAAAATAAGAAAATAGTTATAAAAAATAAACAATAATAAGATTAAAAAAATGATAAAAGTAAAAAAGTAAACAATAAGATAAATATAAATGTAAAACAGTAAAAAGAAACAATAAAAAAAAAATAAAACTAACCCTGCTGCCCTGCCATCTGGTTGCCATTCTCCATTGATGGGGGGGGCGCATTGTGGAGCCTGGCCTTGGGGCGGCAGGGAGAGTAAATCCGGCCCTGGTAGTAGAAGAGATGCTTCTGTGATAGGAGAAGCAGGAAGCTGGCTCTGTGGTTCAGTTGAGTATAACTTTTTTTTACCACCTAGACAGAATGGAGCACTTAACACTTGCCGTGCAAGGCTAGTCATACTGCAAGGGTTATGAAAAATTTGGCCTCAGTTCTTTAATTTTTGCAGCATTTTTGAAGACATACTTTTTTGAAAAATCTCAGTACAAATTAGTAAACTGAACATGAGATTGTAGTCCATCACAGGAGTGAGCTTGGAGCGGTGACTACTTTACAACACACACAGGGACCATGGGGAACAAAAGTAGTCACCCTCCAGAAGGAAGGACAGTGTCAGCACCAATTCAGAGATGATTGGAGGATCTACAGCCGAGTGATACACAAATAAGAGACATTTTTGGTAATAATTAGGGTACATGAATGTATTTTTACGATTTAACTCCGGAGTTTAGTGTCACTTTAAGTTTACTGTGCCTTTAACACACATTCAGTGATGTAAATCTGTGTTTATTTCCTATGTTACCCATTTAGAAATACACCCATAGGGCCTTATGGGATCATTTTCCAAGACCTCTGTGAATACATCTTTGTTATATAAAAAACGATGATATTTCCAATTAAATGAATTATGTGAACATGGCAGCAACTAACATCACAGGTAAACTGCATTGCTTGTGCTGATAGCCACAGATGAGGTAGTATCGGCAGGTTGTAGGCTCCCTAACCATGGAAATACAATATGCCCGGTGTGCTGGGCTGGGATCTTTGAGGAGGGACTGTGCCTGTTTAACAGTCTAAACAATAAATGAATAAGTGAGGCTTTCCCCATGAATTACAGAAGCAGTGCCGATAAATGGCCTACTGTAAATCTGTTTAAAATAATAATACTGGTTTGCAGCAATTGAATTTATTTTAGATCAAACTACACAATCTATACAACTCTGTGATTAGATTAAACTAAAATTCTTGATAGCTGGAATTTATAAATAGCTGGAATTGTATCCTGCCAGAACTTTTGCTCTCATAAAAAACAATGTTTTATTTATAAAAACCTGGTAGGGAAATTAAGGAAATTCTCTACTAATCTCCATAAATTAACTGATTACCTAAATTCTTTGTATGCGCTAATTTGAAGACGAAATAAAAACAATATTGTGGGAAAAAAATATATATATATATTGTGACATAAGGAAAGGAGAAGTCATTGAGGGGCGGTATATTTCCCCTCGCTTTCTATTCTATGTACAGGAGTAGCGGAACCCAGACCAGGTTTTCTGTTTGACTCAATAATCCAGCTCAGGTTTTGTGCCTCTCACCTGGATTGTTAATTGCTTAACGATTGCTTATCCAGGTGAGATAAAAGGGGGAAGGCTGAAGCAGGATGTTGCTCTGGTCTGGGACTCAGAGAGCATTCTGAGAGAGCTACAAGGTGGATGGTTGTGAGGAGAAGGTTGCGGAAAGTCCTTTTTGTTTTGTGAGGTGGCTGAGATAAGCTCTCCCCCTGGTAGATAGGAATAATTTGTCATAAGTGTGATGATTATGGCTTACAGCTCATGAATCCCAAGAATCCCAAGAACCCCAAATCCACAATCTCAGAAAAGTAGATTATTACATGCAATCAATAAAACAAGGATTGTACATAGAACAATATCGGACCTCTGAAAAGTACAAGCATGCATATCTACTCAGTACTTGGTTTGGGCCCCTTTTGCAGCACTTACTGCAATTACTTTTGCACGATACTCTAATTATTCGAGTTTCACCTGTGTGTATATATATATATATATATAAAATATCTCAATCACAGACTAAACCATTGACTAGAAGCCAATATCAGTTTCATAGACTTAAGATCACAAAATTTGAAATAGAGATAATTTTTACAGCAGCTGAAATTTCTCTAATTTAATTTTGATGCTAACACTATATAACCGAATGATCAGAATAAAGGATTTAGTCAGATATATATGGCTAGCATAAATTGCTTAAAGATAGATGTGAATCTATACTTTACCACTAATCTGGACATTCTTTGGTCTCAGTGATGTCCAGCCTCAGTTAATTTAGGGACAGGAGTTCTTTGTCTTTTTCTTTGTGTTGATGTTCAGGTTCTCTTCCAGTCTTTCCTTCTCCCTGTTCAGTCCTCGTTGTCTTTAGTCTCCCTTCTACCAAATTTCTCTATCCTTTTACTACCTAAACTTTTGGGAGCGAAAGATGCTATTTTATCTTAACCATGATGTCACTACTCGTCTCACTTTACACCAAATTATACCCACAATTTCCTGAAGGAGGCAGTATTGGTCTAGGAATCATTAGAAAATATATGATGGTGAATAGTTCTTTGTCCTTTGTCCAGCCTGAGACATGGCATCTTCATTTATCTTATAGTCCGGTACAATTGGTACCATTGTCAGTCTTTATCTTGTTATTGTCTGTTCTAACTGGACCCCCAACATTTATAACCTGGGAATCTAAGATATTAAAAGTCTGAGAATTTCTGTTATTAGACTCTTTTGTCTTCAAAGCATGAACTTAAAGTCATCTTTATTCTGCAAAATAAGAGAGAAACAACATGGCTTCCAGTATTCTCATGTTACATGATGTATAGATGTTAAGTCTAGGTCTCACACTTTTTTTTTTATTGTTCTGACAAAACACTAGTATGCTACAAAAAAATCATTTTTTTTAATAAATACATCAAAAGGTTGACTAAATTTGCTGACCTCAAGGCAATCAGCTAAACACACAGGTGAAATACATATATATGGGAGCTGTTTTACCTACCACAGGATTTGTCTGTGAAGGTTCTCATTCATCCAGGTCATGGTATATCTGTGAAAATGAAATCAAGGCAACTGGACTTGCTGTCTTTCTTGAAGACGTTTTAAATGGCCATCCGACTACGGTAGCTTTCTCAATTCAGAATGACGTCTACAAAAATTATCTGGGGATATATATATATATATATATATATATAGTGAATGTTGCTCCAATCAACATAATCTGTTTATCACAACCAGCATGGGGTCAAGGTGTTGATTGACTTTTCATATAAGCTTTAATCATGCAAATTTAATCAGCACCTTACCTCCATGAGATCACAGACCTCATGCTAGTTATGAGACACAGATTATGTTGATTGGCGAGCAACATTCACCATATTTATTCCCAGAGACTTTTTGTACAAGTCAGACTGAATTGACAAAAGCTAGTCAGATGACCAGTGAGACGTCTTCAAGAAAAATACAGCAAGTCCAGTTGCCTTGATGTATTTTTACAGATCTACTAAAGGAATTGTATTTCTGTCCAGTAAGTCCTGAGATTTAATCATCTCTGCCCTGTCTGCCACAGGAGGAGAGGCAGTCTGAGCTCTGCTACCTTGTTTCCCCGAAAAAAAGACACTGTCTTATATTTTTTTTTCAACGAAAAAAGACACTAGGTCTTATTTTTTCGGGGGATGTCTTATTTTTACCTGGCTGCAGCTGTCCGCCCTCTGCTCTGATGCTGTCCACTTCAACCCCACTGGCTATGCCGCGCTGTGCCTGCTGGGAAATGTAGTCTTCAACGGCAGCCGAGACAGACAGGTGGGTGTGCGGACGGACATGCGTGCGGGCAGGGGGAGGAGGGAGGGAGCTGCGGCCGGTCTTCACAAGTAAAAATCAGTTATATGTGCAGCTACCCCGAAAGTAAGACCTAGGGCTATCTTCAGGGATTTCTTTAATATAAGACCTACCACCGAACTAGGTCTTATTTTCGGGGTAGGTCTTATATTACAGAAATCTCTGAAGATAGCGCTAGGTCTTACTTTCGGGGAAACACGGTATGTAGTAGCCTGTAATTTTAAATTACACTACTTACACTGCTTCTTTTTTTCAAAATATTTTTATTGATATTGCAAAGAACACAGAGCTGCATTTTTTTTAATTGCAGTCAGTTATTTACATAGTGCCAACAACTTACGCACATTCACATCAGTCCTTGCCTATATGGAGCTTACAATCAAAGGTCCCTATTCATCTATACAATGTCTTATTTAGAGAGGAGCCAAGTAACCTTCCAGCATGCTTTTGGAGTGTGGGAGGAAACCGGAGTACCCGGAGGAAACCCACACAAGCACAGGGAGAACATGCAAACTCCTTGCAGACAGTGTCCTGGCAAGGATTTGAACCAGGGGCCCCAAGTGCTGCAAGGCAGAAGTGCTAACCACTAAGTCACTTTACCTTATCTACCTGGCAGTCAGTTTTAACAATGAAAGCTGCATGGTAACATGTAAAAACTAGGCATGCACTGAAATTTCGATCGCCAAAATATTTCGTCTGCACAAAATATTTCGGCTGAAAATGGTACTATGGGTAAAATGGTGATAGTGTCCTAATGGCCAAAATTGCATCCGAAAAGTCAGTGCATCCTAATCGCTTCTCTCCTCCCCACTGAACACCGGTCTGTGTCCCCTGCGATGCCAGCTGCTCTCCCTGCCTGTGCCAGCAGAGGCAGCAGGGATCCAAGGGGATTCAGAGGCTCCAGCTGTCAGCGCCCAGCAGGGAGGAGAGGGCTGTCAGGAGGCCGAGTGGGGCAGTGCGGGAGGAGAGGGCTCTCAGGAGGCTAAGTGGGGCAGTGCGGGAGGAGAGGGCTGTCAGGAGGCCGAGTGGGGCAGTGCGGGAGGAGAGGGCTGTCAGGAGGCCGAGTGGGGCAGTGCGGGAGGAGAGGGCTGTCAGGAGGCTGAGTGGGGCAGTGCGGGAGGAGAGTGCTGTCTTTTTAAATAAAATTTTAAAAGATTTTATGGTATGTGCGTTATCCTTTTTTTATTGGTGGTTTATTATCCTGGTCACGTGATTTGATTGAGTGATTCTGGTGAGTGGGGAGCACTGATGTTTGATGAAGCTAGGACGGATTTACTAAAAGTTTTTTTTCTGAATTATATGGATTATGATTATTTATTTATATTGTTACATTAATATTTTTGGGTTATATTTGTCTTACATTTTTTGTGCACATTTTAATAAGGACTGTTTATTGGTTTTTCTTCATCTCTCGACCACAGTATTACAGATCTGTTGGTCCTTTACTGCAGCTGTCATTTATTATTCACTTATATACTCAATATTGGAAGGGGTAACATCCATAAGCGTGAATACTCACATTATTTTAAGGATGTAGAGCGTGTTACCAGCACTCAGCGATCAGAAATAATCGCTGAGTTTTAGTAAATAACTGAAGACATAGGGGTCTATTCACGAAGCAGCCGAAGGATCTAGCCGTAGCTTCGGCTGATCCTTCGGCTAGCTTCGGCCCCAGGACCCCTTCGGTTCAGTAGAACCGAAGGGCTGCTGTACGGGTTATTCACTATAGCTCGTACTGCTCCCAAACTTGGCCGAGCGGCTCAGTCGAGCCGAACGCATATGCCTCGGCTGAGCCGCGCTGAAAGCCAAAGCTGGCCGAGCGGCCGTGTCAGAATTGAAAAGAAAAAAAAATGTATCATAGAAATGCATTGCTAGATTCCTATTGGCTATTTCAATTTGCAATAGCCAATATCAAACTAGCTATTGTACCCGCCCTCTGCTGCAGTTCTCCATCAGGTCCCCACTAGTGATTGACAGCAGCAGAGGGCAGGTACAATAGCTAGTTTGCTTTTGGCTATTGTAAATTGAAATAGCCAATAGGAATCTAGCAATGCATTCCTATGGTGAAATTTTTGTTTCTTTTTTTTTTTGACGGCAGCAGAACTGCCGGCCAATAGAAAACAGTTGGGCGGAGCTAGCTGTCACTGCTAGATCCGCACAATCGTTTTCTATTTCTTTTTTTCTACCTTTTTAACTATTTTTCTGTTCTGCTCGGTCCCACAGAAGGACCGAACAGCATCGAGTAGCCTGCCGGAGGTTTGGCTTAGCCGATCCAGATGTTGTATCGGCCGAGTCGAACTCCTTCTGCACTTCGGGTCGGCCGAACATGCTGAGCATGTTCAGCTGACCCGAAGCCACCCAATGTACAGCTGATTTCAGCCGATATACGGTTGAAATCAGCCTTAAGAGCCTGAAGTGAATAGCCGAACAGCGTTCGGCTCATTTCGCTTTAGGTGGGTCATTAACTCGGTTGCCTACGGCAGCTTAGTGAATAGACCCCATATTGTGGTTACTGTTTCCCCAGTTATAAATGAACAGGAAGTGCTCTACACCACTTCCTGTTCATTCAGTTTATGAATGGACAGGGGCACTCAGAGACTATAGACTTCCTGTTCATTCATAAAAGGGGCTGCAGAAAAAGAGTTTTAGGACTCTGTGTCCTCAATGTCTTTTTCTATTTTTAGACCCCTTATATTTCCCCAAAGCCCTTAACTGTAAAGTAAGAAGAAAAAAAATTAGAACATTTTAAAATGATTTTAGCAAAATGTAATAATGGTTGGGAAAAAAAGTCATTTTTCGGTTTCGGCCTGACAATGTTTTTATTTTCGGTTACGGTCTAAAAAATGTATTTCGTTGTATCCCTAGTAAAAACAAAATTATAATTTTCAATCCTGTTATAATGTTTTCTTCCAGGTCCAAATATTTCATTCGATCTATGCAAAAATAGGAATGAAACTGTCCATAGAGCTACACAACATAAGACGTTGCACCTGCTGGCATTTTCCATATATCCCAGAGTTCAGATTATCATTTCTGTGATTGTCTTATTCATGTACATTCTCTGTATACTTGGAAACTTGCTTGTAGCTATAATAGTATGTCTGACACCCCGGCTGCATACTCCCATGTACTTTTTTCTGGGCAACCTTACATTCCTAGATATTGTGTATGTGTCTGTAATCTTGCCAAAGCTGCTGGCCATCAGTATGATAGGTGACACCAGTATCTCCTATCCGGGGTGCTTTACACAAATATTCTTCTACGTTTTCTCTATTGGAACAGAATTTTTCCTGCTGACCTCTATGGCTTATGACAGATACGTGGCCATTTGTATTCCATTACACTACGTCATGATGATGAACAGAAGGACATGTTTGATATTGGCCGTATTTTGTTGCACTATTGGGACTTTTAACTCGCTTATGTACGCAGTGCTTATATCACGGTTATCGTTTCCCAGTTCCAGTGAAATCAACCATTTCTTTTGCCATATGAAGTCAGTACTCCGTATCTCTTGCAATGACAGCACCAGTATTGCAATCTTAATTACTGTTGATGGTATTGTTTTAGGGTTTGTGACCTTCATGTTGATTCTCACATCTTACATGCGTATCATATCTACGATTCTAAAGATTCATACCACCGCCGGGAGGCTAAAAGCCTTTTCCAGCTGCTCCTCTCACATCACCATCGTTGTTTTATTTTGTCTGACGTCTCTCACTCTGAACATGAAACCGGAAACAGAGTTCTCTCAGGAACAGGACAAAATACTTTCAATGGTGTATATTGCTGTAGTTCCAATGTTAAATCCACTAGTATATAGTCTGAGAAATAAAGATGTTCTAAAAGCTATAAATGAATTGAGAAAATAAAAAATTAGAGATGGGGCCAGTCACATCATCAGTAAATATAACAAATACAACCTGTGAACGTTGTAAACATGAAAGACTGTAAAGCTGAACAAAGAAAATATAGCAACAAGCATTGAACCCGGATTTGCTAAAGTGCCAAGTTTACAAATGATTACTGATGTTATTTTTTTTAGCTCCCGTTCACACCTAGCCATTTTGTCGCTCAAAGCTAAACAGGAAAAAAAAACGCTCAAGGCCAGCAATCCCATTCACTTGAGCACGACAAAACATTCAAGACAAGGGATCCCATTCATTTCTATGGCCCCTGTTCACACCTAAGCATTCTGGTGTGTGTTTTGTTGCACAAAGTTTCATACCAGGCCACATGCCCTCAGCACTGGGAGGGTGCTTTTCCAGGGTCGCCCCTGGAAAAACACTTTTCCCCATGCCGATGGGGACATGGTCCTCTTCCCCACAAGCCCTGGGGCGTTGGTTGTGGGGGTGTGGGCAGAGGGCTTATTCACATCGGGGTTGCCCCTGGAAAAACACTTCCCCATGCCGATGGGGACATGGTCCTCTTCCCCACAAGCCCTGGGGCGTTGGTTGTGGGGGTGTGGGCAGGGGGCGTATTCACATCAGGGTACCCCTTTAATAAATGGGCACCCAAATACGCTCCCCCCCTTGTGAGTGAGTAAGGGGTACTTGTACCCCTACCTATTCACTATAGGGTTAAAAAAATGGAAATAAAAAAAACAGACTTTTGGACAAAAATCCTTTAATTGAAAAAAAACCACAACAAAGGATTGGAAAAAAAATGGATCCACGGACGTAATTCAGGGTCAATCACAACTTCCAGCATTGTCCACGACTATGACGACTTGACAAAATAAATAATAAAACAATAAAAAATAAATATGTGTACAGTTTCACGTCATCTGACAGGTGAGCCATGATTGGGCAAAGTCATCATGACTTTGCCCAATCATGGCTCTTACAGAGTACTGACCCCTGACTGGGCAAGGTCTTGCACCTGACCTACGGTCAGGTGCAAGCCTTTAACCAATTAGGGCTTCACAAGGTGCATTGCCGCCGTGCACCCTTATAGTTCGTGTGTTTGGTGAACACACGAACTAGCAATGCCCGAGTCGAACTCATGTTCGACTCGAACATCCAGCCCAACTCTAATTGCTATGATTTGCAAATCTCATAAAATAATATTTTATTCACAACAGAAAACATATCAAATGTTTAAACTGAGAAAATGAACATTTTAAGAAAAAAATAAGGTAGCAATACGATGGCAGCAATACGTCTCAACAAAGTTGGGACAGGGCAACAGAAATCTGGCAAAGTAAGTGGTACTAAAGGTGGCCATACACTTTACAACCCTCGCAATACTTTTGTCTTGCGAGGGTTGTAAAGTACCTAAAAAAACGTACGATCAGCCTATCTTGGACAGGCAGATCGTACTTTCGATCATTGCGAAGACTGCAATGAGGGGCGAGCTTCGATGACTGCAAACGGGCAGTGTGTGCGAGCGCACACCGGCCCGTTCGGCAGTTGTCGAACAAGCAGGCCACTAACTCGACGAGAATCGTACGATTCCCGGCGGGTTTTCCAGCCTGCTTGTTCGACGGAAGACGTGCGAACGTACAGTAGAAACGGTCGCACGCCTTCCATACACTGCACAATTATTGTACGATTGCGGGATTCCCCATGATTCTCATACGAGAATCGTGCAGTGTATGGGCACCTTAAGAAGGAAGAGCTGAAAGAAGATTTTGCAACTAAATAGGTTAATTGGCAACAGGTCAGTAACATGAATGGGTATAAAAAGAGCATCTTAGAGAGTCAGAGTGTCTTAGAAGTGAATATGGGCAGAGGTTCACCTCTACCCGTGATCTTCAGGCCCTCTGACAGCACTGCAATAAAAACAATCATGATTCTGTGATCGACGTCACTGCATGGGCTCAGGAATACTTCCAAAAATCACTGTCTGTGAACACAGTTTGCCGTGCCGTCTAAAAATACAAGTTAAAGCTCTATCAGGCAAAGAAGAAGCCATATCTGAACATAACCCAGAAACACCACCATCTTCTCTGGGCCAAAGCTCATTTCAAATGTTCTGTCACAAAGTGGAAAACTGTTCTGTGGTCAGACAAATCGAAATTTGACATTCATTTCAACCATGGGTGCTGCGTCCTCTGGACTAAAGAGGAGACTGACAGAGCAGGCTTGTTATCAGCACCCAGTTCAAAAGCCTGCTTCTCTGATGGTATGGGGGTGCATTAGTGCGTATGGAATGGACAGTTTACACATCTGGAAAGACACCATCAGTGCTAGAAGTTTTATAAAGGTTTTAGAGCAGCATATCCTCCCATCCAGACAGCATCCTTTTCAGGGAAGGCCTTCTATATGTTAGCAGGACAATGCTAAACTGCATACTGCATCTATGACAACAACATGGCTTTGTACTAGAAGAGTCTGGGTGCTTAACTGGCCTGCTTTCAGTCCAGACTTTTCACTAATTGAAAATATTTGGCTAGGGGCGTAAATAGAAATCACAGGGCCCCATACCAAAATTTTGTATGGGGCCCCATGGTTGCTAATTATGCCACTTGCAGAGCCCACCTGATATACCAAACAGCCCACCTGAGAGTGACCCTGCAGAGCCCACCATAGATTTCCTATGGTGGGCTCTGCAGGGTCTGAGATGGGCTCCACACCTCTTATCTGCCAGCGCTGTCCGCCTCTCTTCCATCCCTGGGCCCCACCTGCTCTTAGGTCGCTGGCTAGTGATGTAAGAGGAGGCGGGGTTTCTCTTAGGCGGGCCCCGCCTCCTCCTTCACTGCGAACGCCGGCCTCTTCTGCCGCAGCTGCTGGCTGTCACTGACACAGCTTCGCAGCAGCTGTGTGGGAAATCAGTGATCTGCACAGCCGCTGCTGAGCTTCGTCAGTGACAGCCAGCACCCATACATGCCTAGATCAGGGGTAGCAAACCACCGACCCTCCAGCTGTGGTGGAACTACAAATCCCATGAGGCATTGCAAGATTCTCACAGCCACAGACATGACTCCCGAAGAGAGATGCATCATGGGATTTGTAAGTTTCACCACAGCTGGAGGACCGGAGGTTTGCTACGCCTGTCCTAGATTGTTCACTTCTCCTGCCTTCTCCAACCTCTTCACCCTTTTGTGCACAACCCTGTGATTTTTTCATTTTACATTGGTGGTCAGTGAGGGAAATATCCCTTTCATTTGTACAGCCTGCACACTGATTACTAATTAAAGGGGCATTCTTGCCACTGATTTTCAATGTAATAGACATGCCTACTTCTACTGACTACCAATGTAAGGGGACATTCACAAACCCCCCTTACATTCCGCCTCAGTAATTGAAAGAATGTCCCTTACACAGGCGGTCAGTGGGAAAAATGTTAAATTCTTTCCACTATCTACCAGTGAACGGGGCACTTTTGCTCCTACTAAATATAAATGTAAGGGGTATTCTTTCTTTCTTTCACTGAACACCATTATTTAGGGTAATTATAAATGTCCCCAACATTGACCAATTGACTATCAGAGAGAAAAATGCCCTGATAATCTCAGTGAGAACCAGCTTGTGGGTCATTTCTTGAAGACAAATAATTACATTTGTGATAGGCGTCCGCTTACCTGTATGAACTACGCATCAGGTACCATAACAAATACTCTGAAGCACTGATAAGCAATGATACTGACCTGAGGTGTGCCATGGTCCGGGTGGACAGTAATGCCAAATAAGGGGGCAAACACAAACAGTTTAGAGTTAATGTATATCTTTATTCGTAACTACATTAAGTTGCCAGTTTTGAAAAGGCCTCGGCCATTTCCACATGCGGATCCGGTATGTACCTGCTGAAACAGGACGAAGTCCACCTGCCTAGATGTTTAATTACGTGGGCCGAGACACCATGCCTGGAGGCGGCCGAGGCTGCCCCTATGTGGAAAGAGTGCCCTGAATATAGCTGGGGGTCTACCCCTAACTGGCCGAGAAGCAAGCGCACATGGCTAATGAACTGCCTTGCTGTCAGTGGAGCAATCGAAAATGGCAGCAATGGACTCTCCAGTGACCCTCGGGACAGCCAGGACATAAGACTATCTAATACTGACACCAGGCATCACGCGTTGCCTGGAAGGGTAGAACTTAAATTCTGTGGGGGCACCGACCTGATTCGTTTTGCACCGTTCCAGAGATAACAAGTAATGATCGGGAAAACAGACCAATAGTTTATTCCGTAAGGAAATGGATTTGCGGCTGGAGCAGGTTAACTCACCTGGCCTAAGAAATCCATAAAACGCTAGATAAATGGACGCCTTTATAACCAAGCTTTGCATGACCCCAAAAGGAGACCTGTCCAACATTCCTGACATGACCCTCAACATGCGACTAGATATGGGCAGTCTGGTATGGCGGGCCTGACGACCGGATTTCTGAATGCCCTTCAAGATAGCCTGAACCGGATGAGCCAAGAATAAGGACGGTTTATCCGGGTATATTAAACCCAAAAAATGTTGGACACCTGCTAAGTACAGCCGAATAGTGTTGTAAGCCAGTTTGACATCGGTATGACAAAATGCAATAAAGGCCAAAATATATGCAACGCTACTGGGATCTGAAGTAACGTGTTTGGTCCGGAATAGACTAAACGTCTTCCATGCTACTTTATACGCTTTGCCTGTATTGCTGGAAAGAGAATTGTTGATGAGCTTGGCTGCCTTAAGTTGATGACTCTCTAGTCCAGAACCAGATGACTGAAAGCAGGTACTGCCGTGGGGATAACGTCCACATCTGGTCTCTGTTGGAAAAATACCTGTAATTTTAACCGAGATAATGCGTCAGCAGCTACGTTATGCACACAAGGAATAAAATAACAGATGACGTTGAACTTATGCTGAAGTGACAGCCATACTAATCTGCGAAGAAACAACTTGATGACCAGATTTTTGGATCTACCCCTATTGATGATGTCTGCTGTGGCG